TTGTTGTTTATAATTGATAAATATCGTATTATTGATACACATAATGCAATAGAATTTTTTTTTGTTTATCTCAACGTAGAAAATTCTTCGAATCTTTCGAAAGCCTCAGCAGCAATTACGAATTCCAATGCGTACGATTTCTAATGGTGTATTCAATGAAACGAAAATTTTAATATAAATTTCTTATTATCGTGATATTTTATTTTAATTGAGTTCAATTTTGTTTTTATAATTATTAAACGTTTGAAAAGAAACATAAAGATTAATAATTCGTCGTACGAGTTTTTTGTTTTGTTTTGTGTGTTTAATAATAAAAAAAAGAAATTAATTTAAATAATAATACTCTTCCTCCGATTATATTTGGAATCAATCTTTCAAATATTTCATTTGAATTTTGTACAAAGAACACGAAGAAAAATAAATTATTCGAAAAATCACATATTGTTTCGTTGAAAATTGTATTCTCGTGACATATTATTAACATTTTTAAATGTCCTGCATTCGAACAAAAGAAGAAGAAAAAAAAACGAAGATAAATACGGATTTATCAAAAAGAATTTACATACTGTGTTATTTATATGAGTGAGCGTGTGTATAACAATACGTAATAAGCGTGTTTTTTATCAAACTACCCGCATATTTTTCGAACATTTTCCTAACAACAGTACAAAAGAATACGTTATACCGTAGAAAATATTTAACAAATTTTACACGTTTCGTAGTTTCTCGTATCACGAAAAGATAATAACTTTGACATGTATTCATCTAAATCCTTTTCAAAAAAAAATACGTATACGCTAATACAGACACACGCACGCATCGATAAATTATTATTTTACTTTTTTGTTACAGAATCCACACGTTTTTGTTACGTGGCAAAGAAGAACGAGGGGTATCGATTGTTAAAATAAAACGAATAATAATATTTACCAAAAAAGTCTTTTTCTGATAAAATACAAATTTATCGAACAAAGGACAAAGTACTACTACTACTACTACTATCGAGATATATATATTCAAAGCACAAAGTAATATAATCAATCGTAGAATTAACGAAGAAAGAGAAAAAGAAGAACAAGAAGTTAAGTCGCATAATGTAGTCTGATAAATGTGACAAATAAAAACAAAAATAAAGAACAAGAAAAAGAATAGAAAGGATACAAAAAAATATGTCGATCGTTTTAATAGACGAAAATAATTAGGATTATATTATTATTATATATCTCGAAGTTAAATAAAAAGTGAAGATATAAAGACTAATTATAAAAATAATAATAATAAGGTGGTGGTGAATTGTGATAGTGATTGATTCGGTTGGTGGTGATATTCTGAAAGTGGATAACAAACAACAATAACAAGAAGAATAAAAATTAAAGAAGAAGAAGAAGAATAAGAAAAATAAGAAAATAAAGAATAATCATTTTTGGGCCCTACTCGTTAAAAGTTGTTTTACCTTGAAGGTTAAAGGAGAAAGGATTGAAGTTTCTTCGTGACAGGATGAAGACGTTGGGCGACGTTGTTGCCGATCCCGTCGACGAGGAGAAGGACAATACTGATTCAGGGCATGGAACTGTTGGCAAAGAATTTGGTCAGAGAACTCTAAGATCCTTGAAAAGAGGACTCGGACGATTGTGGAAGAGACACAGGGGCAACGCCTCAATAACCGACTATGATCCTTGTTATAAGGTCGCCTATCTTGGGAATGTCCTTACTGGATGGGCCAAGGGTGAGTTATTTTACCATTATTTCTTTTTACAAAGTTTATTTTATCACAACCACACCTTGTAGAAAAGAGAGAGAGGGGCACTTCTTTTTTTTTAATTTCATTCTTGCGTATTTTTCATAATTTTTTTTTTTTTTTTTTTATTTCAATTCTTAGCAAGAATTATAAGTAATTTTTGCTGACGCATGATACATTGATAAGTGTAAACATATATCACTCTTTATTAACATCACAAAATTATTAATTTATTAAATCTTGTTTGTAGATCAAAAGAGTAGAAACCTTGGTACGTAATATATTAGAATTTTTATGTAAATTACTTTTTGCTAGAAGAAGGTTCGGATCGTTTGCTAAACGAATGTTTCTAACGTTCACTGTAGTTTGTAATTTATTCTTTTATCGTAAGAATTTTTGAAATCTTAATAGATTATTTCATTAATTACGTATCAGGGAATATTGCTAATGTTTCCGATATTGGAATAATTTTTAATAATAAATCTTTTTTTTCTTTTCTATCAATTTGTTTATATTCGATTTATCGAAAAATTTGTCTAGAATTAGAAAAACGAATTTGAGGTAAAATATTTTTATATATTTTTACACGTGTTATTATAAATTTTAAGGCTAACGTCTGTTATTTTTATTGCAAATTATTAAATAAATAAAAAAAATAACATATATCTTATAAAAAATGATTTACATTAATTAGGTATATGGGATTGGTTAATAATCTTGAAGAAATTAGCACATTTTAATATTTATGATAATATGGAAGTTCTTGTTATTATTCGTTTATAATGACGTTATAATCTTCTATTTCTTGTTACCTTTATTCGCGATAAACAATAATTAAAGTTGTTAATCAGAAAACCCAAGCAATTGGGGTTCTCTCTCGTTTCTCGGTTTTATTTGAAACACATGAAGAACAAGTAGGACGTATAGGATGGATCGAACAAGCCCGAGGTTGAGAATAATGTGCAATCGAGTAAGGTCACCATCTTACCGGTAATTAATCATTTCCTTACTCGTAAGAAACATTCGTTTTCTTTTTACTTTTCCTCTTTTTTTTTTTGTCCCCCCTCCGTGTAATGAATTTATTTTTCTCGCATATAATATATTCTTACTTACATGAAACTAAATGGAATGGAAAAATTTCGAGATATTTTATTATACCACAAGTGGTTATCTTTCTTTATCATGGGTTTTTTTTTTTTTTTTACACATAAATATCGTTAAGCAAAGAAAAAAACATTCGGAGGAAGAATTCATTCATTCGTCAACATGAAAATGGTACTTGACAAATTGCAAAAGTCAAAAATGGTTTTTTATTTTTTTTCTTCTTTAATAACAAAAAAAAATAAAACAGAAAAAGATCTCTCGTTAAAATTCTTTTCCTAAACGAATAATTTCGTTTAGTTTTGTTTTGTTCTATTCTATTCGAATAAAATTACAAACTTCCTTTCGTACTTCTTACATCATTATTGTTAAATTATCCAACCAGTATAAGATCTACGAATGAAATTCCATAGAAATGAGTAATTTGATGTTATGTCACGTTACGTTTCACTCGCATTAATTGCTTTATGTCAGGTTGTTATAAGTAATTTAACGTGCACCTCGTGTGGTTAGAAGAACGGATTATATTTCTTGAAAAATATTATGCTTATGTATTATAAATACAAAAAAATACAAAAACAAAAAACAACATATTCCAAACTCATAGACGAGATTTATAACGAAGTAAAAGAAATTTGATTATCCTTAAAAAAAACTTTAGGGTGGTTTCCGCTTTAGTTTCTAAATCATTTTCCAATTAGTTCCTTATTACCGATTCTTTATAAAACTCATTTAAAATTTTTTATTTCTACTTCTTTTTCTTTTTCTTCTTATATATATATTTTACAAGTATATAGCAAATGAAAAACTTGTTCGTTATTAGAAAGAAATGAGAATTGGTCGGTGTCAATGGCCGGACATAGACTCACACGTGTACTATACACTTATACATATATACATTTACAGGAGAATAGTTAATACCCCTACTTTCTCTAACATACCATAGCATTGGTCGATCTTAATCATTACGAGTAGTAATTATTACGGTACGTTTATTAGCAAATTTATATTTTATTCGTATCATATTAATACGATTGTATCGGATATTTATGTTTTTTTTTTTTATTCAAAAGAAAATTCGGAAAAACATTTATTGACCGTTGTTCCGAAGGGGTAGGGGTACGGGGTGGGTTGATTTAAAAATATCTTTAATATATTATCATTGTCGTTATTGAAATGATATTTATTAAACGTTAATAATTAATTTTAAAAATCTTAGGAAAAGGTGAGTGATATATCGCGTATGCGGTAAAATTAAATAAATCGTCGACGAAGGATTTGCCGGGTTTCATTCGGTACACGTCCTTCGATGAATTCGCAACAACGGTTTCCAGTTTTGCCCCGAACTCGTACCAGCTGACCTTCGCGTCTCGCTTTCTAGAAGATCACCGAACGCTTCCTTTGATCATTTTTTCTTTATTGTTGTTGTTATTGTCGTTGTTGCATTCACGATTTTCTTACGTGCACGTATAATCGAATTAATTTGTATGCATTGAATTACTGTCCCCAAATTTTATCGACTTTTACCCAATGAAATGTGGTACATCAAATTTATTTTAATTTGTTTAATATATTTTTTTATTTTTTTTTTTTCTAATATATATATATATATATTAATATTTATTAGAATAGAACACGGCAAATATTTCACGTTAATTAGATAGATATTTATTTAATCATTTTTTCAGAATATATTCCTTGATGCACGTTTGTTTCATCCCTCGTGTGCTTTTTCGTAGGATTGTTTTTATTTTCTAACGTATTTTTTAAATTTTTTACAAAAATAAAGATCGTATATACTTTATTTCGAATCTTCTTTTAGAAAAGATTATAAACTAAGAAAAAAACGTATATATTACTTTTGTACGTTGACAAATTTACAATCGTGCAAACAATACTTGAGAATGTGCTAATCGAACAATAATCGAAGATAATCCCTTTAAATTAAATTAAAGAAAGGCTTATTTCCTTTTTTTATTTTTCTTCCCGGAGTTTTTTCGTCCATAGTATGGTCGTTTTATACGAAGGTCAATAATAAACATCTGTCCGGAGAAAAGAAACAGACACGTCTGAATTGAATTCAGCGTTTTAGGAAAAAAATTTTATATATTTATTTTTCCTTATTTTTTTTTCTTCTCTTTTGTTTTTTTCTTTCTTTCTTTCTTTGACGATTTTGAAAATCGTTCGACAATACATTATAATTCATACAACAGACTTCGAGAAAAAATGAATCGAGTTCTTAAATATATAAGGACACATACGTACACACACACACAAGTACAACTACATATTGTTGTTAGAAATATCTTATTATTGCTTATTAGTATTCATATAAATTTGAATAGTATGAAAATACAAATTCAAGTGTAAAGATCGATGAAATCGCATAAGAGTCAGACTGTCTGAGGATAAAATCAAAAGAATTTATGAATTTTTGTAGAAAGATATATTTATAGATAAACTTGTGTTTCTCATAATATTTTTACCAATTTTATCTTTCATTCATTTTCTATATACGAAAACATATTACATACAATTTGCGATCGTTCCTTTGATATCTATTTATCTGCTTATCGTTCATGTTAGAATCAATGAATGATAACGTGATTAAAGTTCTTGTTCGATCATTGCGAAGAGTCAAATGTGTTATTATAGTGAATAAAAAAAAACGCAAATGCTATGCTATGCTTTCATGACAGATTAGACGATCAATTGATTTTCCAAGAATGTTGTTGTCGTAACATCCTCATAACGTTTTGCAATCCGTATGAGTATCCCTCCCTCGTTTACGTTGACGTATCAAATAAGGAAAATAATTCGATGTTTCCTTAATAAAAAAAAAAAAAGAAACAATGGACCGAAAGTATTTTTTTATTCATTATTCTTTTCTCGTAATTTGTTTAAATCGTAATACAAAAAAGAAAGTACTATAAATAATTTCGAAAGTATTAATTATTAGTTCAACTTAATATATTGTATCTTTTTGGAGATCCAAATTTTTACATATTTTTCTAATAAAAAAAGATACGTGAATATAATACACCTTGAATTGATTTTTATCCTTTATCAGTGTAATTTTTTTCGTAGAAAAATTAACATATTTATTGGAACTAGACAAGGATATAAATTAATGTATACTAACAATAAGTAAGAATAAAAAAGATAATTGAAAGGTATCGATTGTGTGTTGTTTTATTTTCAGTAAAGATTTTGCAAATAATATGTCTTGTCAAACTACTTTAATATCTTATTCATGAGAGTCACTCTTGAGGATTCTAAATATAAATTTATCGTCAGGGACGTTTAATGCTTATGTTTCAACAGTCTACGTGCACGGTAAAACACCACCGGGCTTGTAATAAAAATATTCAAAAGTAAACGAATAGTTACTACGCGTATTTAGGAAAAAAAGTTTTTGTCCATATTTTTTTTTTCTTTTTTTTTTATAAACGCGCGTCAAATCTTAGTTTCGTCTTCGTACCACCTATTACTTTTTTTTTTTTTTTTTTTCTTTTTTTTCTTTTTACGTCTTTTTCAAAGAAAAATAATACACAAGATTTATCATCACTCTTATTAATCTTTTACGGGATGTGCGTACTTAAATACGATCGTATATTATTTCTCGTCATTGAATCATTTTCATTCATGTTAAAATCGTGACAAATGTTCTCCTTTTCAATGATTTGTATTACGTTTCTTTGAAAAAAATAAGGAAAAAAAAAAAAAAAAAAACGTATTTCTTACTTTATAGTAACGTGTTCGTTCTAAATAATATTTCGACGTGACGCGTAAAACGCATGATAATAAATTCGTGCCAAAATTTTACATTCCTTGTTTAAACATTGAATTTATTTCAAATTTTCTTTTATATGGATTTCAAAATTTGTGATGATTTAAAATGTTTTTGGTTTGCCTTTTTTTTTTTTTTTATTTTTATTCATATTTTATTTTAATCTCATACGAAAGTATCCATCTAACGCGTATTATATAGTTTCCAGATCATGATATTTATTTCGCTATAATAATTACGAATGATTAATTAACAAGATCGTCGCAAGAAAAGGTTCAAGAGTAATCTTTCACGATCATCTAACTAACGTATAGATCAAAGTTGCGATTTTCTCTGTTTCGATAAGATCTAATTGAATGATGATGATGATGATGATGATACTTGTGCTTATCTTTGCGTGTTGTGCGTTGTTAGAATACATACACGTATATATAATATATATGGAGTTTTCGTATCTACATAATAATAGGCTTAAAATTATTTAAATTACATTTGATAATAGTAACGTTGAATTTCATTAATAATCTAATTAATCAAATCTTTATATATTCGATAATTATGATTTTGTAAAAATATTAATAACATAATCGTCTTTTATATTAAACCACAATTCGTATTAAACATCTTGAAATTAATTCTAAAATTATTGCTCAAAACTTTTATCAATTTTTTTTGTTATTTGACAAATTATTTAGAAAAAGGAAATTTATATATATATATAAACGTTATTAAATATAAATAAATAATATCGTAAGTATATTATATCATCGAGTTATAATAGTTTAAAAGTTAGTATGTGATATATCATAGATTACATATTATATATATATATATATATAGTTGAAATCGTTTCCTTTTTGAATTATGTTGAATGTTCCGAAACGGGGGGGGGGGAGGGGGTTGGCGAGTTTTCCTGACCAAGATGTACGAGATAATGGAAGAACAAAAAAAAAATCAAATCAAATCAAGTAAAATGGGAGGATCGTTCGGTATAGTATTTAATTGGATAATATCTAACAGAATGTTACGGGCTAGCGATCGAACCTTGTTGGTCCTCTTCGTTTAGTATTTATTCACTTCCTCTTCCGCATCGTTTCATTATTATTTCCGTTTTTCCGTTAGCACGGTAATAATAATGAAACATGCAACGAATCGGTATACGATCACTGTGACACCGATACATTTCATCTAAAGCTTTCTCTCATTTCTAACAAATATTTTATAGTTCTTTTCTTTTCTCTTTTTTTTTTTTCTCGCAGTCACAATCATTTTTATAGAATTTTATTTTACACATGGGTGCGTGTAATTAACAGGCGTAGACAAATCTTTACGTATTTAACACTACCGATATTTCTATAAAAAAACATATATGTACTCATATCTTAATGTAGAATGAGATATTAAACAATTGAATAATGAAACGGTATACTTCAATTTTGTTTTATTTAGAAACGAACACGTAATTGTACGTTTTATGAATTTTCATCGTATTGTTTTTTTTTTTTGTTTTTTTAATTACAAGTTGCAGAATTTTTAATTATTATGCTTTTCGCGATAAATATTATTCTCGAATAAATGTGTATATAAATGTTACTTTATCACGTAATATTTTAACAATAATGATATAAACGTACAAATTTCTTTTAATCATAACGATTTTGTAATGTATTATCATAAAAATAACAGAGAAATCGGATGAATAGATAACCACGCGTGTTCGTTTTATTAAATAAAACATTTGTCAGTCAGTTCCCCTGTTCATTGAACTTTTTATTTGTCAACGAGAAGAAGTGTTCATTCGCGGAAAGTGAAAATCAATGTTTATTGTACTTTTGTCTTGTATTTTATTTTTTTTAATGCGTTTAAACGAGGTGAAATCGCATAACTCTTTTAAAATTCTCATTTTGCTGAACGTGAAGATAAAGTTGGACGAGTCATAGCAATAACTGACGTCATGCAATCGCTAAAGGTAATCTTGAAAATGAAACACGTGTAAGGATCGTGAAAATCTATAGATCTTACAAAACTAATCGAACGATCTTGTGATAACTATCATTAGAAAAGAAAATAAAAAAGAAGAAATAAAAAATACAAAAAAAACAAATGGATATAACAGAAAATTACGATTCGTATGATTTTAGATAAAAAGAAAAAAAAAAAGAAAATAACGTTTTCATCTTTATCCGCGAATTAAACAAATTGTATTTTTAATCAATCTCTATCTCTCTAACATAAAATCAAATTTTTCTTTCTTATTTAAACATCTTTATTATTAAAAATATCGCATTTACTTCGCATTATCTTTTTTCGTTACAAGTAACTTATATTTACAAAATATTTCGTTTCTATTTATACAATTGATCATTGCAAAAAATATCTAGATACGACAAATATAGTCGTCGTATCATTTTTTTTTTTTCTTTCTAATGAAAACAAATTAAATCTCACAATCTACAAGTTGTTTGAAACATCTTAGAAAAAATAGCGTACAATTATAAAATATTTGTATTAACAAACTCTAACGATATATCGTATTCTATTATCATCATTTATATTTAATATTATCTAGGTACGATAAATACACTCTTAAGTATTATACTTAAATGAACATTAAACAAGATTAAATTTTTATAATCTACGAAATATATCAACAAAAAATGTTATATTTCGAATACCAATATATTACATTTAATTCATTTATTCGTTATAATCATTAGTATACCGAAATTTGTCGTATAGAATATCTCGGAATAATTTTCAATAAAATACAATTTCATTTTTGAAATATTTTCTTTTTCTTTTCTTTTCTTATTTTTTTTTCTGTCTCTTTCACTGTGATATCTTTAACTGGTACCCTCCTTTCTCGCAGTCTAAGTAACTGTACTAGCATTTCCTGTATTTCTAAATTGGTAAGAGTCGAACGGCGAATCGAACTATATCGAAGGTCAGGATAAACCTTTTCACTCTACTATCCAGTCTTCTTCGTTTCCAGTACAGACAGATACACACACACACATACAAAGTTTATTGTACTACATATCATAGTAGTTGAAGTGTTCAAGTTGAAGTATTCCAATCGCGTATATACCACGGAATGCAAGTACTGTTTGTGAGCTTCCATTGCGTATAGTATTGTATTTATGTATGTACGTGTGTATATGTGTATGTATACCAAGAGTATTCATACGGATACGATATATCAAAGGTAACCCTGAAAGGATATCGTTACTGGAACTCGTGTGACGTTCCAATAAACATACCTATACTTATTCGACACTGAGATTGATTCTCTCTGTGCCACACCATCACAAATTCCTTTGTCATATTAATATATTATAATAGGTTATTGAAGTTAATAATCTCTTTGTGATATACGTAACGAGAATAATAAATCAAATTGAATAATATTAATTATCGCGAAATATAAATTGACAAATCGTTATTACGATAAATTTGGATTTTTATCATTGAAATTATAACAAATGAGTTTTCTTAAGGATTCACATATTTAATCGTTTGAAATTATATACAAGTAAATAATTAAATATATTCTATTTATAATATAAGATTGTTAAAACAAGTTATATTTATGTAAAGAAAAATATCTTTTAAAATGTATACATATCATTATGGATATATTGAATAAATTTATATATGTAATTATTAAACAATCTTATAATTAACTTAAAATGTGAAAATTTCCATATTTAATATAGAAATTATATTTTTAAAAAATTAATTAATCATTTTTACGAAAGATCATAAATAAAAATAATTTTATGATAAATATATATATATTTCTTTTTTTTTTTTTTTAAGTTATTTTTATCTATCACTTTTGATAAATTATTAATTACGATTGATTGGTATTTTACGATCCTGTAAAAGGGTTTAATAAAAAAAAAGTATATTTTCTCCCTAAAATGGCTTAGAACGAAAAAACATGACACAATAAAAATCCCATAAACAACAGTAATAAAAAAAATACATTTTTCTGTATATTTCTAGGTGAAGGATGCGTTGAAAAACCTGTGTCGACTTTATGGCGAAATTACGTGACCAGCAGCAGACCGGACGTTTCTATGAGGTTGACGGTGACTAATGGTGGTTTGACTGCGACAACTAAGGACCATGGTTTAACGGAATATTGGGCTCATAGAGTGACTTATTGTACAGCACCGGTATCCCATCCACGACTTTTCGTTTGGGTTTATAGACACGAAGGACGTAGGCTTAGGCCTGAATTAAGGTGCCATGCTGCATTATGCAGTAAAGAGTCTACCGCTAGGAGATTAGCTTCGACCTTGAATGCAAGGTTACAACAAGCCCTGCTTGAATTTCGTAGAGATAAGGTCTCCAGGCAAAATGCTAGGTAAGATTATTATTCAATGGTTTTTTTTTTTTTATTTTGCATTTCAATAAGTCAAGGAACAACCTTTTTTTCGAGTATAGGCATTTATTATTGAATAATTCGATGGTAATTTTTTTGTTTGTTTTTCTAAATGATTTTCATATTTATATGATTTATAAATTACATACGATATATTTTTTTTTTTTTTTACATATACCGTTTAATAATACGAAAATTTATTCTACCATGTTTAATATAATAATATGTTATTATAGTTTAAACAATGAGTGTCATATGTTTATATTATAACGAAAAGGTTGACTTTGTTGGAATTTTTATTGACAAATATTTGCATATATTATTGATAGAAATATTTTAACTTAGAGATTCGGTTATCTGGTTTTATATATATTTTTTTTCATTTATATAAAAATAAATTTTGTATAACAAATTTAATTATTAATGGCATCGAGAATTCTTTTCTACGGGTAAAGGTGGGAAGAAAGAATAAAAATTACTATTTTCGTAATAATTATGTTGAAAATAAAATGGTTCTTCCTTTATCGGACATTTAAAGATCAAGGATAATCAGGGAATTCTTCTCGTGTTTGCGTTCAAAGTATCGCAATGTCTTGACCTTCGGCGAAAAGGTAGAATTCAGGTCACGTTTCTGTCGTGGATCGCCAGAAGTAGAGGATCCAGTCACGATTCGGGTCGCGAAGTGATCGTTAATGTGCATTCGGGTCATAGATTCCACGACATTTTCTTCTTAAGAACAACTTAAACAAGTATTATTTGTTTTTCTTTCTATTAGTTCGAGTATTTTCACAGGGTTATATTGAATACTATTATATAAAAAAACAGGTGTGTTAATATGAACAATATTATAATAAAAAAACACATTGTTGTAATTTCAATTAAAAATCATAATTTAAATTCTATTAACTATTGTTCATTTATATTATATTTCGCGATTATATTATTTAATATTATTAATTAATTTTGTTTTTTCTTCAGTGAACGATGAATGAATAATATAAAATAATATAATATAAATCAGCAATCACACAATTATATTAAATATCAATAATATAATATAAATAAAGATATGTATGTGTATGTATAATAATAAAAAAAAAAAATGTATATTTACAGGTTGTCCTTGGCAAATGCTCTCTACGAAAATCCTTCGTTACCTAGGAGAAAACTTTTATTGAGTACAGGTGGTCAAAATTATCGGCCACCTTTGGAAAGGTCCAAAAGTGCGCCGAAACTATCAGCCATCGAGGAAGATGCTGTTGCAGAAGAGATCGAACAACAACGATTACTCGAGGATCTGAGAACATTGGAAACAGTTGCACGAAGTTGGCAGGATCAGGATGGTTGGAGATTGGCACGTCTTTTGGATGCACTCAATCGAGAATCTTCTGACGAGAATGGAAGTATATCGAGTGGTTGTGAAACAGCTAGTACGGCAACTAGCGAAGAAAGAACGATTGGTCCTGAGGATCATCAAATTGCTGGTAAGCATAATTTCAAATATCTAATATAATATTGAACACAAGGTCCAATTGTTTTTAATTTAAATAAAATAAATAATACTATATTAATATTTTGTTATATCCAGGTGAGACAGAACATCATCAAGCAAACGCTAGGATCCTTTACGAGGAAGAAAACGTAAGAGATGCTGTTGGACCAAGAAGAAATTCCGAAGGTTCGCCTAATTTCATGACGTGTGCCGGTAGTCCACGTTTTCATCGTTGTAACATAACACCCAATCGAAAGAGGTTTTCCTTGAGAAATGAGGAAGACGAGTCTATGGAAGAAGAAGAAGAAGAAGAAGAGGAAGAGGAAGAGGAAGAGGAAGAGGAAGAGGAAGAAGAAGTGGAAGTGGAAGTGGAAGAAACTGTAAACACCCCTCCGAATCGTTTTGAATTCGAGGACGTCGAGGATTTCGACGAAGTGGTGGATTACAGGCCTAGGGGTGAGATTCATCATCATAGAATTGAAAGCACGCAAGAGAAGGAAAGGCGAGTATTGGAAAAATATCCGAGTAGTAGGTTGAGCCGTCAATTGTCCCAAAATGAAGATACTTCATTTTTGACGTTGGATTCATTGGACGAGGAAGCTGACAGCGATGAAAGTGGTTACGTTGAAGCACCGCCTAAATCTCTCCTAGGACAGAACGATAATAATAGTAATAGTAATAGTAGTAGTAGTAGTAATAAGTACGATAATACCAAGAAAGAGCTTGATGTTATTGTAGATAGCAAATCGAACGATATAAACGAACGAAAAGCCGAAAATACGACGATTGAGAAAAAACTTGATGATAGGAAGCAAATTGATGTAGACTCTAATGATCCTTCGATTCATGCGATAGATGATAATCAAAGGATCAAAGAGAGAGAACGCGAGAAAGCAGACTTCATTAAGTGTCCAATATCAGAGACTATCAAGAAGCTAACTAATGCTTCCTTAAGAAGTTCCAAATCCTTGGAAATTGCTACGAACAGTTGTTCAAAGGCAATGACTAATCTCAAAACGTCGAAATCATTCGATGCTACCAATAGGAATGAGAACGTTGAAATCGAGTCGCCGAGTTTGTTACAAAGAAAACAATTGTTAGCTCAGCACGGGGTTATTGTTTAAAATTATATATAAAGGGGGAAAAAAGAAATAACCCTATAAGTTGAACCCTCTCGTTTGTAAAATTATTTTTTTATAGAGAGACCCAATGATGAGAGAGAGAGAGAGGGGGGGGGAAGGGGAAGGAAGGATAGAGAATATGATAGAATTGCATTTTCGTGGTGTCCAGTGCATACGTGAATCGTTGGCCACAAAAAGGATTGATCACTTTAATACGTGATACGCTTTTTATGTAGTTCCGTGATATATTAAAGCGTTTTAATACGTAAATAGGAAATTCAGCAGTTTCCATTGCTTAATTTCAAATTTGCTCGCTCGCTTACACCGAGCTTAGAGAAAAAAATTATCGTTTGATTTTAATATCGTCAATTTTATCGATTCGTTGCGATTAGTGTGTATGAGAGAGAGAGAGAGAGAGAGAGAGATGAGATATATATATATATATATATTTTTTTTAAGTGTACTTATTGGTTTTGTTTTATATTTTCAACGGATAATTAGTTAATTCTTTTATATAGATCGAATGAAATTATTCAAACTCTGTATTCCTAAGAGATAATATGTATATGTATTTTGCCCTCTCTTGAAAAATATTTAATAACGAAAATAGCATATAATTATTATATTTAAACGTTTAGCCGAAAATCATTTATTTTTCAGACCATTTATTATTGTCATTCGCATCGGTATTTTTTTTCTTTTCTTTTCATTTTTTTTTTTTTATATATATATATAACATATTAGAAATTCTTATTTTATTATTTGACGTAAAAGTTAATAATATATGGATTATACGTGTGTCAGATCATAAATGTGATTAATCTAATAGATTATACGAACACCATGTTTTTTCTTTTTTCTTTAATGATTAGATTTCTTTCGATTATGGAATACAGTTCTTAACGCGAGAACCGTGCCATACACCATTAAAAAAAAAAAAAACAAAGAAAGCAGCTTTTTTTCATACGCAAAAATCTCCCTATTCTTTTTTTCCTAATCCTATTAAACGTAATTTTTAATCAGGATTAAAATTAATGAAGTTCGAGAGGGGAGGAGAACAAAATTATATCAATCTCAATGTTTATCATCGTTTCGCTTGGTAAAAAGTGAAATTTTAGAATGAAAACATATTTAAAATACATTATTGACTATTGTACAAGTATTACAATAAAGAAATATGAAATAAAACCTACCGCAAATCCATTAAAATAATTAATATATAAGAAAAAATTATGTGCGCTTTGACGTAAACAGAACTTGCAAGAAATTAATTAATCCATTAATGGAATATACGTGTTATTCTAATAACATGTGCAGGTAGATTATTAAATGGTAATTGCTAGATTTTTAATTATATGCAAATTTGAAACATAGATCTAGGTCGATTGATATAGTAAAAACTCTTTTATATATACATAATTTTCTTACCTTTCCGTGTAGTAAAAATGAGTAGTAATACAGAAACGTGACTTAACTAGAAATGGAACTACAGGATATGTAAATCGAATATATAATTTTAATCGTTTAATTGATTGAAACGTTTTTCTGCAAAGTAACTAGATTATTCAAGAAACATCTTATTACTAACGATTGTTATTGCAGTGAACTGCATTATCGACAAACGATAATAAGATAAAAAAATTAAATAACAGTAACAACTTTTTACGTTAGATAGCAGAATCTGGTTGAAACCTTTCTTGCATCAAAGTAAACCTGGTTGTCATTCTCCAGGGGGTCGATTATATATTATGATTGTATTTTTATAAATTTACTACGAATATTATTTCGTTCATGAATCAAAATCATTTTCAAATGATCGATAAAATATACAGATATACGTTAAAATGTAAATATATATTAATTTAATATTTTAAACAAACGAGGAATTTCTTTATCACTAAAATAAAAAGACATAAAATTATCGGATTAAAACACAATAAACTTATCGCATAAAAATAAGGTCCTTTCTTTCTAACTCGTAAAATCGGTGCGTCACGATTCGTGTACCTTAACGATGATTGTAACACGACCAAAGGAGAAAGTTAAGCATCTCAACGGAAGTATTGAACAAAAATCGAGAAAAGGATAGATCGAGATCGTTTCCGTATCGACATATAAAAAAAATTTCCACCAACTAACTATTACTAATTCACGAATATCTATGTATCCCAGGATTGAAACACGAATCGAAGCAAAAAAAAAAAAAGGAAGAAAATAATAGAATATAATTTTCGATGAAATAAAAAGAACAAAAAAAAATAAAAACAAAAAAGGTTTCACTAACGTAAAATATCGAAAGAGATATAAATTAACGAATCGTACGTTAAATTATTTTTCCATGAAAGAATATGAGGAGGGGGGAAAAAAAGGAAGAGATAAAATTATAAAGGTTGAGAGAGAAGAGTCTGTTGTCAGGACCGTTAAAGGTTAAGAAGACAAGAGGTGTACGTATAGAGAATAAGAATAAACGAAAGAGACTGCAATCCGAGTAAGGCCTTGTGTCGTGTCAAGATCAAGGTACATCTCTCTCTCTCTCTCTCTCTCTCTCCTTCTCTCTCTCTCTTTCTCTCTTTCTCTTGGTGTTCGATTCCGAGCTTGTGTTCTTTGGTTGTGTCGTGTTTCGTTGGACTCGTCTTGCGTTATGTGTAAGCGCAAACGTTCGTTCAAGCCTCGAGGCACCATCGGTATGACCTACTAAAGGCTTCTACGAGCAAACGAGTGCGCCCACACGCATGGATTCGATCGAAACGACGAATGGTGTACCTTCTTCATCATCATCATCATCATTATCGATAGTTAACAAATTCGTTAATTAACAAAATATTTTGATTATACATTTTCACGGAAAATTATAATATTTCATTAGATGTTTTTTTTCAATTTGAAGCAATGATTTGAACGCGTATATATATATATATATATACGGTTTTGCATATTTTTCTTTTATTTAATTTCCTTTTTTTTTATTTGGAAAAAGAACAAGTGGCGGGGGAAATGTAGGGGACGGACACGTGGGCCCATATCGTGATTATACATTTTGACGGATTGGATTGAAATATTTCATTCAAATTTTTTCTTTAATTTGAAGCACAACTATTTGAACGTAATATATACGATTTGGCATATCTTTCTTTCATTTCATTTCTTTATTTCTTTCTCTGTTTGAAGAAAGAGCAAGTGGCGGGGTGGGAAGGGGGAGAGGGAAGGGTGGAGAGAGGGGGGGGGTAAATGTAGGGGCCGGACACGTGGGACACCATAGTCTCTCGACTCGTATAACGCGCGCGGTAAGAGCCTCGCGAGTAGTGTTAACGGCCTTGCTTTATGTGGGTCATGAAACAAGGTCCCACCAGCAGCGGCTACGAGAACCATACGAAAGAACCATACGAGAACCAAACCACGACTCCGATCGAGCCTAATCGATAAGGGTCCTCTCTTTTTTACATTGTCTTTTTTCCAGTAATAAATAATTCCTATTTTTTACGGTTCTTTTTTCTTTTTTTTTTTTCTTTTTTTCTATCTCTTCCCTTCGAATTACTCAACTTTTGTTTGTCTTTTTCTTTTTCTTTTCTTTTTTAATCAAAGAAATTAAATAACTATGATAATATATTAGGGTGAACCAAAAAGTTCTTGCTTTATATTATATTATATTGAAATTTTATTTTGAAACTGCATGATGGTATTGATTGTATTTTTCTTTTTTTTTTTTTTTTTTTTTTTTTTTTTCAACTTGACCACGCACTCAAGTCTCTTTTTTTCCAATTTCAAAATTTCGTAATCTTTCGTAATTTGTAAAATTTAAAATAAAAAAACGTTGACAAAAGGGATATAATAGTACTAAGTTTGTCATTTGTTTTCGTTAAACGTACGTACGTACGTTGATTTTAAACGACAGGTTTGACGTTAATCGGCACTTTGCTGTTCTTTATTTTTTTTTTTTGTTCTTTCTTTCTCTCTCTCTCTCTCTCTCTCTCTATACCGATACCCATATGGTTTTCATCGTGCGTTCGCGTTAAACTCGCGATGCCAAGAGAAATCGAAGTTGATCGTTAAGCTTACCGCGACGTGAGTTCGGCACATTAGCCGCATTTGAGGTTCCTATGTCACGTTGTTCGATGAGTACATTGAACAAAAGGGATTTTAAAACGGCGTGAGAAGGAAGGGGGGTAAGTGTTAGTGGGGGGATTTTCGTTAAACGACATCCCATCGAATTCTTCTGATCTGAAAAAAAATAAAGAAAAAGAAGAATATAACTCGTAAAAGAAAATAAATTCTTTACTTTTTTTTAACCTTGCCCACCCACACCGTGTTGTTTACGAATTATCGAAGAAACGATGCCGATATCTAATCGAAAAAAAAAAACAAAAAAAAAAAAAAAAAAAAAAAAAGAAAAAGGTTTGAACTAACGCGTAAAACTCAAATTACTTACGTTGATACACTTTTAGAATTTTGAATACGCGATAATTAGGAATTCTTATTTTAAATGGATCATCAAGATAAGGGCAAGAACAGCTAGATATACACCATCCATCCGTTCCTCGTGCGACGAATTCTTAACTGTATTTCTCTTTCTCCCTACTCCAACTAACTCATTCGCTTATTTGAACGTCCAAGAATTATGAAAGCTAGACCCCCCTCCCTCCTCCCCCTGCCCCTCCATCCCTCGAAAACGTCGATTAATTGCTGTCGAACTTGCTGAGTTTAAAACGGACAAATGAATCCGTGATTAACGATTCATTAATTATTAATCTTGACCGAAACTACCCCCCTCCCCCCACCTTTCCTTTCCACCTGGTTGAGGGTCCCCGTGATCTTCAACTAACGCGAGTCTTTATAAACAATTTAATCGATTTGTATCATCGAAAATAAGGAGGTCGTTTATAATTATGTCAACTTGAAAACATATATCCGTTTTCACATAATATCAAAATGTTGCACAAGACATGTCGATAATCAAAAATGTTTGAATTATGAACAAACAATTTATCAGGTATTTCGTATATTCATAACAAATATTAGACAACATTATAATTATTCAATAAACAATTACATTTGTTTACCACGGTGGTGATGCATAATCAAAAAATCGTGAACACGCGACGTGTAAATATATTTTCTTGTTGATCAAATTGACGGATCATTTTTTTTTTTGTTTTTTTAAATCAAGATACAAAACTTTTCAATCCCTCATCTTATAATAAGATATACAATAATATAATGAATAATATAATGAGAAATAATTGTGTATATTTCATTTAAAGATAACAATTATATGATATGTAATAATTAATAATAATAATAATAATAAAAGTTTGAACACGACGAAACGCTCGGAGCCAGCATAGCGTTTGGAATCTTTTGACACAATCTCTTTACTTACATTAGTGATATTGCGTTGAGAGAAGCCCAAAGAACGATGGCAGACGATGGGAACTTTACCACGGGAATATTATATGGAGAATCCCATTACGGAGTTGGACGTACTATGTTGCTACTGCTGTTGATGCTACTGCTGCTGTTGCTGTTGCTGCTGTTGCTGTTGCTGTTTATTTTACCTAGAACTATATATACATAGTATACTTCGTCCATTGAGAAGGAGCTCAAAACTTAATTGTGTGAACTGTACCATTCGCATGATTCCAATTGCCTTTAATTATTCGGCCATTTGTGAAATGTTTCCATCAGTCGTTGTTGTTGACTATATTATCTTCTTTTCGTTTATATTATAATATTTGAAATAATTCAAATTGATAGAATCGTTTTAACATTAAACGCGTAAACGGATTAAAAATAAAAACAAACAATTTTTAATGATTTATTTTCATTATTTTTATCTATTATTCTCTTTTATTAATATAAATTTTTTATCATCGTTATTAATCGTCTAACAATAAGATAGACAAAAAATATAATAGATTTGTTAACGTTTAAATTCTGTTAAGGAA